GGATGCTCGACGCGGAAGAAATAAAACCCGTATGTGTTTAGTCGTTTATAACAAGCGTATGAGAGACAAAACAATATCTAACATTGCATGAGTCCTCACTACGCTTTAGACGATAGATGCTTCTGAATACTATCCAACTCTGAAACTTGTCGAGATCCAATGGACACATGTATGCGGATCCAATCAAATTGATTTATTTAAAATTTTGATTGGATCCGCACACACTGGTCAAATCTAATAAATTACCTATATTGTAATCAAGGGGTGGGTATTTTTATATTTTACTAGCGCTAGATAAATTAATTAATTTTGCCAAGAATTTCGTCAATCACTAGACAAAACCATTAACGAAATCATCATTACAAAAATAGGGTCATCAGGTAACATTAATTTCAAGCAGCAATAAATCTTGGTAATAATAAATTTGCCACGTCTTTTAATAGATTACAATGTTAAAACAAATGCGCGTTTACAAAAAGAATAATGGAAGAACCAAGATTACAATTCTTTATGAATTTATTATTAATGTAATTTTTATAAACAATAGGAATTTATTTAATTTTAATAATTAGACGGTTATTCTAGTTATAAAATTTTTTGGTGATACAGTATACAGGAATATAAATAACAAGAAGCTTGAAAAAAATAAATAAATAACGCTAATTACTATTTTTGTGATTTGGGAATTAGATAGGTTTATAAATTAGAATTATTAACGCATTTTACTTTTAACAGGCATGGTTTTAGAGGCAAGCACCGCCTTCACTGAATCTCACTTTACATCCGGCACCACAGTGAACGGAATCAGCGCCACATTCATCAAAAAAACTACAGCATGGGGTTGTGCCATTACAAGTCGTCCTCACATGGCAACCTTGGGCGTTTGAATTGTGAATGAAAACTGTGCGTGAAAATGAAAAGAAACCAATAGTATTAATATATGAATAAATAAACATAATGAATAAATATATTATACATCTTACATATTGCTATAGAAATAACGACTAGGAGTATAGCAAATTTCTTCAATATGGCCATTTTTAATAAAATTTTTAGAAATTAAATGATGTAAAAATGAAGTTTTTATAGAGAGAAAGCAAGAGCTTTTTGAGCTGTTTGCAAAAAAAAAAGTTTCATCGTGTTATATATATATGTTAGCGTCAGAACGCACGTCAGATGACTACCAGACGACCAGCGTTAAATGATCTGCAATAATTGGCCTAACTCAGGCCGGGCGTCATCTGACACGGATGCATCTGAGGCACGACATATATATTTGAGCTCTATTCGTTTCTAGCCGTTAGATATCTTAACTTCTAAAACAACGTGCATGCGTAGTATTCTTTTAGAAATTATTTCTTTAAATGCAAATTGAATAGAGCCTATATTAAAATTGTACGTACGTACTGTCACGGGATAAAAATGACATTTTTGAAACTACAGTGAATTACAAGGAATTAATCCACGGAAACGAAGGTGAGTCACAGTACGTAAAATGCTTAGTATAACCAAGCATTCTGTTAGCGTTAGTCTGTTTAAAGAACGTAACTTGGGTAAGATTATTTACGACACTTATGCGCGAGACGCTTATTTTAACGAATAATACAAACTCCTAAAGAGAAGACTAGGCATATCACGGAATTACTAGGTATGTTAATTAATGCTAATTAACTATGAATAAAGGTATAATCGGTTGTAAATCACAGGAACGATTTCGTAGATCCGAAAATAAAATTGGCTTAATCGTTTTTTAGATCTCTGCTAACGAAATTGATGCAGGGAAATTTTCTGCATGCGTGCAATCAAAAAATATCATTGTATTATGTAACTTTTGTGAAGTTTTGTTAAGATTAATTCCAGGTTTGAATAACATATTACGTATTAGAGTGATATATTAACTTATCTGGCACCTTACTATGATCGTACCAACAGAATAACTCGAGTTATTTTGATGATGATTGCATCATTATCAAATAACTCCGTTATTTAATGATGACGCAATCATCACCAAAAGAACTCGAGTCATTCTGTTGGTACTATAATAGTAAGACACCGGATAATACCGTTATTGAATGCTACTCAGCCAATAACTCGTTTATCTGGCAGTGAATTTAATATGCGTCATTTCAGGGCCCCTTCGGGGCCCAGAAACTGACATATTAAATTTCACAGCCAGATAATA